ATATGAAAATCTAACCTTAATTTAGAAATTACCGGCAATACAAAATCCGGCCACCTAATTGTTAACCTTAGCCTACGTACTGACAAAAATGTGCGGCAGATCCTCGATTTTGATTGGCTAACGGCCGAGGATCTTCAAATTTTGGCCCGCATTACATAATTGTTTACTAATCTCCGGTCGGAATTATTTCATTACAAAATTTTTTAAAAAATAAGCCCGCATTATGGTAAAATTGACCCAAGAACAATTTTCACGGCTGCGATTTCGTTATAAAATTATGAGTAATTCCGGCCTAATTTTTTGATCGTTGCTTTCAGCCAATCAAAATAGAAGATCTGCCGCGCATTTTTTGTGCGGCACTTTCAATGAATAGCGTTAAAAATTGCTACTAGACCAGAACTCTAATTATATATTGAATTGGCTAAGCAATGCATAGATTCAGATCCACAAAAAACGACCTATTGCTCATTACTTTTTTTTAAAAAAAAAAAATTAAAAAATTGAAAAGAAATTTGACTGAATTGATGATAATGAAATTGAAAAATTGACGATTATAGTTATGAAAAATTATCACTTTAAAGAAATTTAAAGAATTGATAATATAAAAATTTAGCCAATTCTTCCAAAGCATTTGGATTATATTGTATACAAACAAAAGCACTGATACACAAAAATTAGAAAATATTTATAATCAACAATAGTTATCTCAAAATGGCGGCAATTCTTATATACTGGATTCTTTTATTTAGATTTTGAAAAAAAATGGTATTTAATATTTATATTTTGCAATGCAGTTGAAAATCGATCAACTTATTTGATAAATATTTATTATTTTATCATAAACTAGCATTGATACTTCCTACCGGGTTGTAGTATAAATTTGACATATCAATTATACATATATTTATAATAATTTATCATTGATATCTTTTGTGGCAAGCCTCAAAGAAAGAAAAAAATAATAAGAAATGAAAAATAATAATAATGATAATATTAACTATGAAAAACATCTTTATGAATTTTCCAAAGTCTATTATTAAGATCATTATCAGTAGGGATTAAATCTGTGACAACAAATGAACGTGGTGCTTGACAGTGAAAATCATTAATTTTGGCTTCAAAAGTAACAATTTCATATGAAGTATTGTTATCAAAAATATAAAATGGATTTTCATAAACCAAAATATCAATACTAGACTCTTTGTGAGTATCCCCTCCATTAGTACCTGTAGGATAATAATCTAAACCAAGACATATTGTTCCATTAGGAATTTCAACAGCTAGTTGGGTACCATATACATCAGATATATGAAGAAGTATAAAAAATAATGATAAAATAGCTAGCAAATAATTTCCGATATATTTGCTATAATTAATTGTATTCATTATGTCAATGAAAGTTTTTTATATTTGTAAAATGTAGTTTTTGATATTAGTCCAATTTCAAAGTTTAAATGTTGAAATAATTGTATTATTCTTGTTTTAACTAGAAGTTTATATGTATATCTATATTGTTATACCTGATTATGAAGCCTTAGAAATTATGAAAGAAAACCACTGAGTACTTATACATGTATAGAAAAAGTGCACTTGTAGAATGTGAACTAAAAAAGTCGTGAATGCAGTGTTGGAAGATGATTTCATATGACTTACATGACTTTTAACAGCACTGGGCTAAAGCTTATATCGTAACCAGTATAAAAATTTCAGTTTGAAAAGTATGTGCGTACTCATATTAAAATAAGAAAATTTCATGTGCGATCCTCACATGCGCGCATCGAACTAGTTACGACAATCTGAAAATTTTTAATCAGTCAATTAGCAATGCGAACAAATTACTTGTTCTTGCTTTAATGTATTATGAATTCAAAATATCAATCATTTCCTAAATCGGGTTAAATGAAATAATCACTATCATAACGTTTATTTTTCACAACAATTATATAAAATGGTCTCGATTTAAGGTTTGAAATGAAATAAATTGGGGCCTTTGTTAGTAAAATCACCAAAATCCCGAAAAACAAATTCCCGAAAGAACATAATACCGACAAAATTAGCCGGTACTAGCTATAATGCTGGTCGATTTAATCAGTGATGTTTTTCGGGATTTTGGGGCACGGAAAAATTTCCGGACATGCCCTATATATATATATATATCAGATAGTTAAAAGTCTCTAAAAATCTTATTTGCTAATCATTAAATGATGTATTTTAGTTATTAATTATGCCGATAAATATATAGTTATAAAAAATTTATAATATGGGCTAGGTGCTGCAAAAAGGGACCAAATTGAAAGTTCTTTCAAAAGATTTTTTTTTACATAAATCAATTTAGAATAAAATTAGGATCATTTTTTACTTAAGACACAAAAGTAGTTGTATTAATAAAATTTGCTGTATTGCTCTTTAAAGTTTGTATTTTCTTATGATTTATTATAAGATTTATAACAAAAATTGATTTTCCGAAGTTCTTTGTCAATTTGGTCTCTTTTTGCAGCACCTAGCTCATATTAGCAGAGATAGTAAAAAGGTTCTATCTAGGACTTTTTATTCACTCTCATATATTGTACTATGCTATTATAACTATACGGTTACGGCACATACCGTATTTTTTGCCGTAATTGCCGTGACCGTGATGCCGTGATGCCGTAGTACCGTAATGCCAAAATGATGTATAATGCCGTTTGTTGAAATGCTGTGCATTATGTACTTTTCTTTAAATAATATACTGTTACAGTAGTTGTTTTTTCGAATTTGATTATGTCGACTCCGTTGATTTAGTACATGTAACGACTATGTTTGTCAGGTCTAGGTTTTATTCTGACTTAAACGATTATCATGATATTTTATGGCCAATTAGGCTATTCTATTTTTTGAAAACAGCTTTAGCGAACTAATTGACCATATGACAACACTGTCAGATTACGATGACAGTACGTTAGTGATGGGCACCACGCGTGATCCGCGCGTAATGCATGGGACTTTTTGGATCCCGCGCGAGATATATTGTATAATTCGAGCAGTGTCATAAATCAGACCAGGTTCCGAAACATTCCGAGGTCGAGGTAAAATTTTGACTATTTTCATAGATTCCGAAATATGGAAAAAATCCTATCCTGCGAATCATGCGCGTGATCCACATCCCGTGCGGGATTTTTGGATTACCCATCACTACAGTATCATAGATTAACTTATATAAATGTGGTATAAATATTTAATAATTGTTAACTCTCACAAGTATTTATAAACACGATTTTAATTGAATTTGTTGTAGCACAGCTAATGACAAAATGCCATAGAAAATAAAGAGCCAAACTCTTCTTTTCCAATCATTTTAACATTATCTAGTTTATTAAATCGAAGGGATTATTTTTATACCCTCAAATTTATTATTCATACCCCCTGCAGGTTAAAAAGTTCACCGAATTTGACTTTATCACTGAGATCAAAACAAATTGTACTAAAATTTCTTTAAACTTTGAGCAATGATATCTAGGGTTCTGCAACCGGACGCGTTTACATACCTGTGCCCAAAAATTTATGCTCTGAATACTTAGAAAAACTTAGGCATGGCTTTAAAATTTTGGCATAGGCATGGGCACAGGCACAAAAATTTGGCATGAGCATGAGCACAGGCACAGAAACAGAAATTTGATATTTATTATTTAATTGTGCCTATGGTTTTACTACAGTAGTACCTGGCATTTTGTTTCCATACCTTTAATGTGTCTGGTATTTTATGCTCTTTTGTGTCTATGGGCATAGTCATGGCATAAGGCACTAGTGCCCAGCCTGGTGCCAATATGCTGGGCATGGGCATTTACAGAACTCTAATGATATCTCAGCAATCACTAGGCCAAATTTGATGAACTTTTTTTTATTTGAATTCTATAACAGGAGAAACCATCCAAATATAGGGGTTTGCTAAAGCAGGGTAATCATGTGATATAATGTTTTTCATTAACTTTAGGGTTAGGACTTCTTTACAGAAACCCTGTATTTTTTTTCAATGGTTTTATAATGCATTAAAGTTGTAGATCCGATGATTTTAAATTGTTTTAAGCTCACTAAGATTATTGTAAAATATACAATAATAATACTATTATATTACAGTAATAATATGTTTAAAGCTTATAATAATTATATAATAATTATAAAATACAAGTTTATAATTCTTATATTATTATTGT